CAGTTTGGCCAGGTTTGAACCCGCCACCCTCAGTATATGGGGCCAGCACCCTACTCACTGAGCCACAGGCGCCACCCTGATCCCTTTGTTCTAAAGCAGCTATCCTCAACCCTACTTGGCACCAGGGACCGGGTTCATATAAGACAATTTTTCCTCCCAAAGGGAGGTGACAGATAGGAGGTAGAGCTTAGCTGGTGATGCAAGCAACAGAGAACAGCTGTGAATACAGCTCACTTGCTGCTCATCTCCTACTATGCAGCCTGGTTCCTCAGAGGCCATGGACTGGAACCTTTTTGGCACCAGGCACCAATTTCATGGAAGACAATTTTTCCAGAGGCAGTGAGCGGAACAGGAGGTGGAGCTCAGATGGTGCTGCTGTGCAGCCCAGTTCCCAATAGATCACAGACTGGTACCGGTCTGTGGCCTAGGGAAAAACTGATTGGGGCCTCCAGGTAAAAAGAATAGAGAAGCACTTTATAATTCAAGAAGTGTTAAAGTTTTTCAAAATTAAAGCTAAAAAATAGAACGCAGGCAAACAGACAAGGATATGAAGTTCATTTTGCAGAATTTACTTGCCAATGTAGAAAAGTGTTGCTGAGAGGGAAGGGAGGCCATCACTCAGATCTCAGGGAGTGATTGTGAGAGTCTCAAAACCATAAAGAGACTGAGACATGCAGCTTAGCAACAGATAACCTGGACAAGAACCATAGGTTCTGCTCCCACTGTTCAGACCTCCAGCTGCCAAGTGACACTCAGATCTGACAGACAATGTGCCATTCCTGAGGACCTGGAAAACCCAAGGTCCTCTGCAGGACAAGACTGAGGGATCAGCTCAAAACAGTCTGATTTTGGAATCAAAATGAATACAACTATTTGAAATGGTACCATCAAATCAATCCTCCAAGTTATAAAGACTTGCCTCTTCCCTTGACAGGGACATCATGCCAGCGTATAACTTATCTGGCAATGCTTTTGAAGTCAGCAATTAATTTATATAAGGCAGGTTGAGTTACGGAATTGGGTTGTTAAACTTTCTCGTTAAATGTTTATGAGGAATTTCAGCCATGTGGGAGAGACTTTCAGGAAATCTTGGACTTGGTTCTCTAGCTAAAGACCAAAAAAGGAAGATTCCATACCCTTCAGAAAGAATCAAGATGTTTTTCTTAAAGTTTTAAAGCTGCGATTAAACATATTTCTCTAAACAGCTATTAAGCAATATTAATTCATATAAGAATTTAATACATAGAAAGGGGTTCTGGAAAATCATAATGTCACAGGAGTTACCTTTGTGATGGCAGGGAGAATGGCCAG